AGGAGCATGTGAATGCTATGTATATTTATTTTTTATATTTTTAATGTTCTTTAATGTTATCCATCGTTTTTTTATGTGGCTCTTTTTTAAAAAGTATCGGTTCAGGCACTGTTTAGGCACCGGTACCGTTTTAAAAGTATCGATTTGGCACCGGTATCGTAAAAAACCCAATCGATACCCAACCCTAATCATTCCTATTTTATATTTGAAATCATATTTATATTAAGTAGTGTTATTTGTAGAATTATTTATATACTATTTATATACTATTATAGTTTTATCTTTTATTTTTATATTTTTAGTTTAGTTTTTAGTCATATTGTTCTGTGCTTTTGACATTTTAAAATATAAAATGAAAAAAATATATATATTCTATTTTGATTTTAGTTTTTATTTATTTCCAGTTAGTAATTTTAGTCTTTCACCTTAAACTTAACTTTTTCGCCTAAAACCTTAACTTTTTCAATTAGTTACAAAGGCAACATTTTTATTTTTTGTTTAGTTTGCATTTTTCATTTAATATTTATATTTCACCTTTAATTCAATTATCATTTAATAATCGGATAATAATAATAGTAATAATAACATTATTATTATTTTATTATTATTACACAATATATTACAGTATACAACACATGATAGAATGCAACAGTGACTGCCCACTTTTTGGAAACGAAACAATAACAAATTATTTACTATGGTCAACAAATTAATTTTTTACTAAAATCATCAAAAATGTATACAACTGTACAGAATTTCTTGTAGTACAAATTTTGTGGAACTACAGACCAGATTTGATGTGTAGACTAATGCGCAGTTATGGTGACTATATACTGTATATATAGCCTAGATAAAGTATTCCAAAAGATAGATAGATTATTATTAAATTATGATATTTTGAGCTATAATTTGCAACCAAAACATGGCTGTGTGTGTAATAAAATGTGGGGTGCCATCAGGGTGAATCGATGAGTGATCTCTTTAAAATTTTCAAATTTAAACACTTTGTACATATCAACATTTCTGAATATACCCTAATAACTAATTTCACTACCAGAATTTTGGGGTTTTAGAAGAGTGGAAGTTAATTTCTTTGTTTCATAATTTCAGGTCCTCCTGGTCCAAGAGGTCCTCGGGGAGACAAAGGGTCCCAGGGGCCACCTGGCAAAGCTGGCCAGAAAGGTGAAAATGGTGAAAAAGGAGCACCTGGTGTTGCTGGGCCTAAAGGAGAAAGGGGTCCAGCAGGGCTTTCTGGTGTACCAGGGATGAAAGGGCCACCCGGATCAAGAGGAAGCCCTGGGCCAAAAGGTTCACGAGGATCTGGGGGCAGGGCGGGGCCTTCGGGAGAGAAAGGTGACCCTGGTATACCTGGGCTGCCTGGAAGAGATGGTCAGCCAGGTCCTCAAGGGCCACAAGGGCCGCAAGGACTCAGAGGGCCAGCTGGGCCTGCAGGACTGGATGGACCCCGTGGGCCCGTTGGCCCCATTGGCCCACCTGGACCTCCTGGATTACCAGGACTTCCTACACCAGTAGTTGTGTCCCCGGTAGATCCACAAGGCTTTGTCAACCGCCAGGTAGCGCCACCCCCTACAAGTACACCAGGTACTAGCTTTTCTTATACTCACTGTTCACATTCACCAGTGGGTCTCAGGCTTTTTATAGTCGCGTACCCCGCCAGGCATTTAATGTCCTTCTGCGTACCCCCTCTCTCACACTAGTCACAAAGTATTTTAAAAACATGCACATGTAATATACCTTTGTAAAATAACTCCCTTTTATCAAACACATCATTAGTATGCAACCTATCGTATATTTTAAAATAAATTACGTTTTAATGAGATGGGTGTGCTAGATATTTGCATAACTCTGCGATGTTTAGCTGTATCGGAGAGAGTCTGAGTCGTTCTCTGTCAAAGTCTGTGTCGATATTGTTCTTTATGCCAATAAGTGCTGAGAACGCAAAGGTACGTTGTCGCGAAGGGCATCAAAGTCTTTACAGCGTGAGTTGAAGTAAGGGTAAAAATCTTTGGGAGGTAGCTGCCACAAAACCGGCCACCCGGAGGCAGCTCCCAATCCGATAGATGTGTGTGATAACAATGCAACCCGGGTCTCCTTCTACTTGTCTGGCACTTTACATAAAATATAACTCCGCCGTTTTTTAACAGCAGGAGCCACAAAGGTACGCATTAACCACACAGTTTTTAACCTGCCTAAAGATCTCTCACTGCTGCCGGGCACTCCGATTGATGCACATGTCAAAGTAAACAATGCAACCCTCCTCTCCTTCTACTCTTATTAGCCTACCTATTTGCCACCTTACCTTGAATACTTTTTCCTCTATTTTATTCTTTAATGGAGCGTGCGTCCCGCGGCACATAGTGTCGCGCCTACCTTAACATCTCTCACTTGTTTACATTCCGATTGATGAGCACGTGAGCAAACAGACAGTGCAATTCCACATTTATTTACCTATTTGCCACCTTACCTTATATTTTATTCCTCTCTTTTAATCCGTAATGGAGCGCACGTCCCGTCATGCCTGCCACAGTATCTCTCGCTGTTAACCCTCCGATTGATGCAAGTGAACAAACAGAGGTGCATTTTTTGACGGCAAAATATGGCACTACCAGTTTTTGTACACCAAAGAGGGCATGCGTTTATGTATTTTGCCTGTGTGAACACATGTTCAGTTGCCAAGGCCGATATATCGGCCGATATTTGACATTTTTCAAATATCGGCATCGGCCATTAAGTTTTTCTGTTTGGCTAATGTGTTCGAGGCAGGACTTTTATTTTGACTGCGCTGAGAATGGCAGCACCTGAGCACAGCGCTCACATTCTCCCTCTTCATTGTTTGCTGTCACAGTTTAACAGTTCTTTGCAATTCCACATTTATTTACCTATTTGCCACCTTACCTTATATTTTATTCCTCTCTTTTAATCCGTAATGGAGCGCACGTCCCGTCATGCCTGCCACAGCATCTCTCGCTGTTAACCCTCCGATTGATGCAAGTGAACAAACAGAGGTGCATTTTTTGACGGCAAAATATGGCACTACCATTTTTTGTACACCAAAGGGGGCATGCGTTTATGTATTTTGCCTGTGTGAACACATGTTCAGTTGCCAAGGCCGATATATCGGCCGATATTTGACATTTTTCAAATATCGGCATCGGCCATTAAGTTTTTCTGTTTGGCTAATGTGTTCGAGGCAGGACTTTTATTTTGACTGCGCTGAGAATGGCAGCACCTGAGCACAGCGCTCACATTCTCCCTCTTCATTGTTTGCTGTCACAGTTTAACAGTTCTTTGTAATAGGGATAGATGTCGGTCTAATAATCAGATAGAATGTTAAACAAAGGAACTAAAAGGTATACAAAAAAAGTATTATAACAATTGCTTTTATATGTGACCCTGGACCACAAAACCAGTCTTAAGTCGGTATATTTTTGGTATATTATATATTTTTCGGGTTTATTATATATTGGGTATATCTTTAGCAATAGCCAAAAAAACATTGTATGGGTCAAAATGATCGATTTTTCTTTTATGCCAAAATTGACCCTTATGATTATTAATAATAGAAAGGCAAGCATAATACTTTCTCGTTTACCATCAGCATTCAGCAAATACGCATTTATATCATTTAAACAGATCTTTGAATGTCTAATAAACATTTCATTTTACAAACCTTGCAGACTAGTCGGATCCAGCTGTAAGATCTTATGAGGTGTGCATTTGTATCCTGCATGATCGCGTGTTCTCTGCTTGACGGTCGGTCCATGCGAATTGAATGCTGACAGGTTGTAAATTTCCTACCGTAAATATATCATAATTTTATTTTTGATTGGTAATATGCATTGCTAAGAACTTCATTTGGACAATTTTAAAGGCGATTTTCTTATTTATTTGTGAGAAAATACTGTAATAGGATAAGAGAATCCTAGTTGTCATCTAAAGTATGTTTATTTTAGGCATTTATCATTTTCAAATTTCTTAAATATTAATTAGAATAAATAAAAATGATATACATCTGCTTTATATCGGCCATCAGCCACCCTGCTCTCTAAGATATCGGCATCATTTTACAAACCTTGCAGACTAGTCGGATCCAGCTGTAAGATCTTATGAGGTGTGCATTTGTATCCTGCATGATCGCGTGTTCTCTGCTTGACGGTCGATCGGCATCATCTGTCAAAAAACAATATCAGTCGACCAGTAGTTGAATTTAGGTTAAGAATTGAACTAGTTATTTAAGAGTGCGATATAATTCAATTAAAGATACATTTCAGTATTTTGTTCAAGTACCCCCTCTGTCACTTCGAACCCCAGTTTGAGAACCACTGACATACATTTAACACAGGCCATTTATAGATATTAGAGTTTATACAGAAGAAATCATTTGGTTTTTATGTAATATGGATGTTTTTTTTTATATCAAATGAAGACCTCAGGATATTTAAGATCAGTTCATACTTTGAGATGCATTTTGTTAATTTATATAGAAGTTGAAAGATGTCAAAATTCCACAAACCACAATTTAATTAATTAATTTATTTATTTAGTCATTTAGCAGACGCTTTTATCCAAAGCGACTTACAAATGAGGACAATAAATTTAATATGTAACTAATGTAAGTGTTACTTTTAAAAAAATATATTTATTGTATAGGGGCAGTACAAAAATATGATTTCAGCACAAAACTAAAAAAAGATGCATTGCACATAGAGATTATAACACACAGTTTTCATCGTCATTCCAATTTCCTTAAAACTTGAATATTTGAATTGTAATAAAACATCTTTCTCATAAGTGCTACTTTTAAGCACAAGTGAAGGTCTGATAATATTTTTAATGTTTTCTTTTTTTTATCGTAGGGTGCCCACCTCAGTGGAAGAGCTTCAGAGACAAATGTTACTACTTCTCATCAGAGAGTCTGAACTTTGATGAAACGAAGGAAAGATGCAGCAACAAGAGTTCAACTATGCTGATTATCAATGATGAAGACGAGCAGGTAAATCCTGGATACTATTCTCAAATATGGAATGCGTCTTAAATAAACAGAATTAACTATATTAAAACATCTTGCAGTGTGTCGTCACCGATAGCCTTGTGGGCAGCTTGCAGTGTTAGAACTCTTGAGTTTTAAACTTAACATTACGCTATGAATGTTACACAATGCCTACTTTATTATCTATCACAGCTATGGATAAAGAGGCAGATTTCTGGAAAGGGCTACTTTTGGCTGGGCCTCACTGACAGCGCTGATGAAAGCATCTGGAGATGGGTGGACGGGAGCCTGCCCAACTATACGTGAGTGAATAACTGAAATAAAATACATTAATAAAAGTATTGTTACTCCGCTGTGTATATAATGCATATCCAGTGTATAACATTTGTTCCATTATCTTGAGGATCCTCAGTAATATAACGAGGAGATGGCAGTGTGAGGAAACATTCCCCATTAGTCTTGTCTGATTTTAATTGAAAGGAAATGGAAGCCTGGACAGCCTGATAACTGGAGCCATGGTCACGAGGCTGGAGAGGACTGTGCAGGGTTAATACATGAGGCCAGTTGGAACGACTTTTTCTGCACAGAACGCATTGGTTTCATTTGTGAACGAACGAATGAATGTAAGTTACAATTCTTGTTTCTTGCATACATTTTTAGCTTCTTTTGGTTGAAAAGAGTTATCTGCTTGCTGTGCTTGAGTTCATTCTTTTCTCCATTATTCACAGCCAAAGTTCCAGTTTTATAGCACCTGTTGTGAATGAACAGAGAATATTGGATAAGACAATCACAGAGACAGTTCAGAAGACTTCTGTCACAGTATCCTCTCATAAAGCACGAACGATCGCTTTGCCCAGAGAGCCACATGTGTGACGGACACAAAAGTAAACGTCATCGACAATCACGAACGATTCAAGACTGCAAACTATACAATACACTGATCACCAGTCACGTTAATGTTTAGATAAGTGAAAACGCTGTAATGTATTGTAATCATGTGATTGTAAATACCTGTTTTACCTGTGTCATTAACAAAGCTGATGCCACATTATTCCAGTGCAATACAATGAAGCTTTGTGGCTGCTTTAATTAAAATAAAGCTTTTAACAGCCAACCGTAAAGCTACAATTAATATGTTGATATGTTTTAATTACTATAATCCAAAATTTGTTCACACCAGAGTTTTACATCTTGGACATCATTAATGTGATTTTATGAATAAATCTTTAAAGTTTTGAATTTTTCAAATATTTGATTATGCAGTAGCTATGTATAAAATAGTTGAGTATTTGAATACATGTACATGTATGTAGTTATCATCAAAGACCATGTTTTTATCTGAAATAAAATATAGTTGGTATTTTTCAATATGCTTTGTTGAAATCCTTTTGATTAATGTTTCATTGTGGAATGTCCTACATGTAACACAATAATGCTGCGTTAATTAGAATGACTAGTATTTGTCTGTTGATTGGCTTTTGCAACTATATACAGTACTTGTCAAAAATACTGTATATGCATTGATACATTATGATTTTTTTAAATGTTTAAAAAAAGTTTCTTATGCTCACCAAGGCTGCATTTATTTGATCAAAAATACAGTAAAAACAGCAATGTTATGAAATATGTTTACAATTTGAAATAACTGCTTTCTATTTGAATTTATTTTTAAATGTAATTTATTCTTTTGATGCAAAGGATCACTTTAGAAATCATTCTAATATGATGATTTGGTGCTCAAGAAACATTTATTATTATATATTACATTTATGTATAAACATTATTATTTTGTTATTATTACGGGAATAAATAACATTGAAAAATTTACTATATATTAAATATAATAATATTATACATGTATTATAAATATACAATATATTTTAAATATACTATAATTATATCTTACTATAAATATACTATACTATATATTAAAATAAGAAAATAGTATTTTAAATTAATAATATTTCACAATATTTCTGTTTTAAGTTGTATTTTGGTCAAATAAGCCTTAGTGACCATAATAGACTCTAAAAATTTTATATTTTGTAAATAAATTATAAAACATTTTAAAATAATTTACATCATATACATATTAAATATGTAGGCTATGACTATTATTTACTTGTTCACCCAAAAACAATGTCAAAATATGATGATTTCAGAATTTATGAATTATCCTCTTTTTTTAAACAACATACAAAACCACTGCTAGAGAAAACACAGTTGTCATTGCAATTTTTCCTCTTAAACTCTTATATAGCTCTTGACAACTGGTCTGCCCTATCATTAAATGTCACAATTTAATATTTTAACTAAGCGTCCAATAAAACAAAAAAAGCAAATACATAAATGTTCACATCATCTCGTGACTGCTGAGTCAGATAGGGTCTACCGTGTGATTGTCATATGATTTATTAGCCTAGCTGTCTTTTCCCTAACCTTTACAAAGTCATCATTTACACTATCCGATTAACAGATTCCAGTGTCGAATAACAAACATCTCGTTCACATCCCGCTCATATTTATTTGGATATGCCCAGCTGTTTGTGTGTTTTAACTGTGTGGTATGTGCACACTCCAGCAATAGCTCAGTTACCCAGAATGCACCGCAGTAGAGCTGCGAGTAAGTGACTGAGGAGGGGATCCCATCAGCAACACTAAGTGTAGTTTCTATTTTATTATGTTTATTAATTCACTTTTAACCAAGTGCTGACAGGGAGACGAACAAGAAGAGGATCGAGCTTAGATTTCGTCGCGTGTATATATCTCGGCCATGCCTCTCTTCACGTCAAATCCCTTTGATCAAGATGTTGGTAAGTTTGAGATGTCATGCAGTTAGCAGGCGAGCTAACGGGAGCTCATCTGAGTCTATTGTTGTTCATAGCAACCCACCGGCTTTTTGTTTCTTTTCGATATCACTATAACTATTTATGAGAATTTCGCTATGGCATTCCATTGATTAAATAATTCCCATTAGTGGTTTTAACCCGACACTTTTAACGTAGGCATTAATGACAACAGTTTCACAGCTAGAGAGCTTAACATGTTATTAGCCTGATGGCTAACTAGCCAAGTTTGTAGCTAAAGAAGCAGTGACTGACTGTTAGCGAGCAAAATCTCATTTTCTCTATTTGTGTGGCACTGACAGTGCACTATTGAGTAAAAAAAAACAAGATGATTTGAGCCATCGCACTCTTAATGGTTTAATTCATCCTCGACCGGAGCTGACGGTTCACACGGTGACGCTGCAAATGTCCCCAGCTGCTCCTTTTATATATTATTAGCCGTGTTTGTTTTGCTGACTGATGTTATTCCAACTGCACGACGGTATACTTTATAATAGGCCTTTATTAAGATTACAGTGTTGTGTTGTCTATATCATTATTGTATTATGAGCCTGCTGATAATAGTTTTGCTGGGGCAACCGCCAACCAGCCTGTGCGGGTATAATATAAATGCACGCATTTTAGGAAGTGCGTGAAATTTAGCTTAAGGTTTAGTTTGAACATTTTTGAACATATGAGTTGATCTGAATATGTTCAGACTTTGCAGATGTGGGGAATGTCAGAAATTGGCAGTGACTGCTGGATTGATGTACAGTAGCTGCAGATGTCATTGTTTGAGCTGGTCTGATGGCATTGAAGAAATGTCTGTGTAGAATTAGTCTCCTAGCCGGTTTTGTTTATTATAAATCTTTTGTAGGGGTGTTTCTGTACTAGAATGCTGCCAGTGTGTTTTTGTTTTGGCTGACCTCTGTCCTCTATTTGACAGCTTGCTAGATTGACAAACAGAATCTCACAACAAATGTAGGTCATTGGTTAACCTTCTGTAAACAGGTTTATTGCTTTCTGTCATAAATTAACTTTTTTTTTGTTGTGGGAAATATTTGCTGCCTGGGCTGGAATTGATTTTCATGGGGCTTTAAACAATTATGGCTGTTGATTGTAAATTCGAATGCACATCAAAGTAAAATAATAAAAGTTGCTGTAAATAGAGATTCATAATTTAATTTAATTAATTAATTTAATAATTAATACTTCAATTAGATTAGATTTAGAATTAGATTCATAAAAAAATATTGTGGCATGATTAACATTCTGGTTGAATAAATTAACATAGAGGTTTCTAAACAAAACCACATTCTTAAATGTAATTGAAACACATATCTTGCATATACACTACCATTCAAAAGTTTGGGGTCAGTAAGATTTTTTTTTTTATTAATATTTTTATTCAGCAAGGATGAATTAAATTGATTGAAAAATGACAGTAAAGACTTATAATGTTACAAATGATTTGTAGTTCAAAAATTCTTTTGAACTTTGTATCACAGTTCCCACAAAATATTAAAAATCACTTTCATTATTGATAATAAGAAATGTTTCTTGAGCACAAAATTGAAATGTTTTTATTTTATTTTTTACTGTAATTTTGTTAAATACATAAATTCAGCCTTTATGATAATGAGAGAAAAAAGTCTTACCAACCCTACATTTTATAGATATATCCTAATTATAACCCATTATTATTACCGTATAACCTGGGGCTTTTTTTTGCCCTCACATTTAAAATATCTGGGCTTTTTTGTTTTTGCCCCTTTCGGTGGCATTTATTTTCTTAGGCACTGGCTAATTTCGGACTCTGGTTTCTATAATTAGGTGTAACCGAGCCTGTGGCCTTTCACAGATACACATTCATTCATTTGCAAATGAATGTTATGCCACTGAATCACAGGAATCAAAATCACAGGAAACGTTTATCATTATGATGGATAAACATTTGAGTAACTATTCTTTTGCAGAGAAAGCGACAAGTGAGATGAACACAGCTGAGGACTGGGGCCTCATTTTGGACATTTGTGACAAGATTGGACAGTCTCGCACTGGGTTAGTGAATGAGCATTCTGGATTTTTTAAGAGTGTCTTTTAGATTAATGGGTGTTTAAAAGGTTAAACGTTATTGCTTGTCTTCTGAAGGCCTAAAGAATGTCTGCGATCTATAATGAGGAGAGTGAATCACAAGGATCCGCATGTTGCCATGCAAGCATTGACGGTAAGCTTAATGCTTTCTACTGGATGCTTCAATCTCAAGTATGCAAACATCAGAAGCCATTAATGAGCTATCGAGAATCAAATGAGTGTTTTCTCCTCCATAGCTACTAGGTGCGTGTGTGTCAAATTGTGGAAAAATATTCCATTTAGAGGTTTGCTCCAGGGAATTTGCTAGTGAAGTTAGCAACGTGCTAAATAAGGTATGTTTTTCATTTTGTCTGTAGAAAAATACTGCATGCTTCAATTGTTTAGTCCAGCAGTAAAATATTGACGTTTTGTCTTTTCTTCTCAAGGGTCACCCAAAAGTGTGTGAGAAGCTGAAGGCCCTGATGGTGGAATGGGCTGAGGATTTCCGTAATGACCCCCAGCTCAGCCTCATATCGGCCATGATCAAGAACCTCAGAGAACAGGGCGTCATCTTCCCTGCCGTGGGCTCTCAGGTGAGCAGCCCAATCCAGCTCCCCACTGCACAGATCTGCCTGTTCACTGGATTCTCTAAAATACTGTAGTTATTTATATAATAAGTATGTAGGGAATTAAATGTGTGTCAGGAGTGCAGTTTCCATTTAAAGGCCAAATCTCAGACTTGAGCACATAAAACATGCACAACATGATATTAAAGGGGTCATATGATGCGATTTCAAGTTTTCCTTTCTCTTTGGAGTGTTACAAGCTGATTGTGCATAGATAAGATCCCTGAAGTTGCAAAGACTAAAGTCTCAAAACCAAAGAGATATTCTTTATCAAAGTTAAGACTCTGCCACGCCCCCCTAAAACGGCTCATTCTAACACGCCCCCACATATCTACCCCACTATGTAGGCAGAAAGGTCAGGGCCATCTATGACTTTGAGGCAGCCGAGGACAACGAGCTCACCTTTAAATCAGGCGAGATCATCACCATCCTGGATGACAGGTGAGTCTGGTTCTGTTCATTGATGGTCACAATGAATTTCACTCACAGGCTGTGTTTGAAATCATTCCCTTCGTATGATATTCACTACACATTGGTGATTTTTGTTCTGTTTGGATGGCTTGTTTCCACTTTGGTCAGTTTGATCAATTCAGCTGATTTTGGTTGCTAAGCTACAAGCACATGATGACTATGAAACAGAAGTTGTGTGAGGCGGTTAGTAGACATTCAGATCTCTGTAGAGATTGAATGAATGATTCCAAACACAGCCAAAGAGTTTTTTTTTTTTTTTTTAAATGACAGTTAGCGGGAGGTGGCTTAAG